TCAATATTTAATATTTTACTTTTAGGATAATTTTGAAAAAATTCCAAAGTGATTTATAGTGATATAGATTAAAGACCATCATAGAAAGGCCATTTGATGCTGGGTGTGGTGGTGGTCGCCAGTAATCTCAAAAACTCAGGTAAGTTGAGGAAGGAGGAGCTCCAGTTCATAGCCAGCCTCAACAGATTAGTGAGGCACTTAGCAACTCAGAGAGACCCTGTTTCTAAATAAATAAAACATAAAAAGGGCTGGGGATGCTGGGGATGCGGCTCAATGGTTAAGCCCCTTGGGTCCAATCCTTGGTACAAAAAAAAAAAAAAGGAAAAAGAAAAGAAAAGAAAAAAGAAAGAAAGGAAGGCCATTTGAAGACAAGAAAGTGGTACTTTTAATAAATTGAGTTTCTCAGACAGTGCTGTGCTTACTAAAAGTTACAAGTTTTAAGAATTAGCAAGAACATTTTGAAGCACTTTTATCCTACAGGGATGGGTTGTTTTAGAAAGTGTCCCTACTTAAAAAAACAAACAACAACAACAGAAACCACTTTTTTTTTTAAAGGCAGTTTTAGATTCATAGGAAAATTTAGAAGGTAAAGAGATTTTTCCGAAACATCCCCCTCATCCTATAAATGAGTTGCCTCCTCTACTACCAACACTCTCTACTTGGTAGTTGGTACTTAGTTGATGAAATTGTAGATTTGCCATTATCACCCAGGGTGCATAGTTTATATTTGGGTTTACTCTTGATGTACATTCTCTGGGTTTGGACAAATGAGTACTAAGGTGTATAGTCTCTATCATATCTGTAGTATCATAGAGAGTATTTTCATTGCGTCTAAAACTTCTCTGTTCTTCCTATTCACCACAGCTTTTTCCACTCACCACCCAACCTGGCAACCACTGATCTTTTTACTGTCTCCACAATTTTGTCTTTTCCAGAATGTTACATTATTGGAATTGTATGGTTCCCGATTGGCTTCTTTCACTTAGTAATATGCACTTAAGTTTCCTCCATGTTTCTTCTTGGCTTAATAGTTCTTTTTTTTTTCCATACTGGGAAAGGAGTTTGCTAGCTTTTTAAGTGTTTCCTTTTTTTTTTTTTTTTAAAGTAGAAGAATGTAAACGTTTGCAATCTGAGAATTTTATCACACTTTTATCATTCCTCTCAATTAAGATTAGTCTGTGTGAGGAAGCAATCTCATATATGTTTAAATTTCTTGGAACCATATTTAAGAAAATACATATTTGAAAATGATTTATCTGCTTTAAATACATAATGGATTTTTTTAATCCTGATACTATTTAAAATTTTAAGTTTAGACAATTTGAATTTTACAAAGATCTTCATTATATAATATAGAGAACATATGATCTTTATATTCTATGACAGTATAAAATGTATATGTATATATCTTAAAATTTTTTTTTAGTTGTTGATGGATATTTATTTTATTTATTCATATGTGGTGCTGAGAATTGAAACCAGGACCTCATACATGCAGGCAAGTGCTCTACCACTAAACTACAACCCCAATTCTACATGTATATATTTTAACTATAAATATACTAGGAAAAATTATTATCACTCTTTACCATCATAAATCTTAAAACTTATTAATCTTAAGCCATTTTTAGTAATTCATAGATGTTTAGAGATAGTTCTTAAAGTTTAGAAATTTTAGTAAGAATTTAAACAGTATAAACAATTTTTTATTTCATATTTTTTTGGCTTTCAAGGTATATATACTTGAAATGCTCAATGTTGGTTGAACATCTTTCTAACCACCCACTAAGAAAAACCTGGAACCTATCCATTTTGTAAAAAGTGATTCCATATCTCAATTATTTCTACTAGGGACTAGTTAATCATTGGTTCCAGTTTTTCTTGTATTTGCATTGCAAAAACAAAAACACTATAAATACTTAAAAAAAATTTTTGATGTAATGGTTTTGTTGAAGGTTGGTGAAAGTTACAATACATATTTTCACTTTTAGATATATAAGCACCAATTAAAAAGTTTGGTTCACTGTTTTCATTTCTACATCATTTATTTCCTTTTAGTCACCTTTGTGTACATAGCTGCTTTTAGCCTGTTTTAGCTTAGAACTATATCATTGGGGGATATACCATAAAAGGTGAAAAAAACTTATACCATCCCATCTAGCAAAATAACCTGGTACAGGTCCTTGTTATAGTATTAATATTGCACGATTAAGCCCTTCCTGTTGATTACCTGGATGATAATGTCATATTTTCTTGTTGTCCTTGGAAATAGAATGGCTCATCCATTTTTGAATAAGAAAACTCATCTAGAATATGCATCTGAAGACTCATGGTCTGAGATTTTGCTTATATAATCAATTTCCAAGTTTCATCATTAGAGGCTAGAGCACTGCTCTCTTTTTGCATTCACCTTCTGATTCCTTTATAAATTATGGAAATTCCTGTTTTCTTCTAGTATTTGCCATTATAGGCAAGAAATGAAAAATTCTTAATTCTCAGCTATATTCCTTAAGAGGGAACAAAAGGATTCTAAAGATGATGCTTCTCCAGACTTTTCATACCTTCTTGAAAGATGATGTAATACTTGGGCTGTATGAAAACTGAGGATAATGTAACAGTGTTCACTTATTCTGTTATTACATTGTCCTTTTAAGTGATTCTGTTGTTGTTCCATTTCCTTATTTAGTCTTTTTTTATCATAGGTGGGAGTAACTGATTAGCAATAATTAAATAATTTCTGGGAATGAGATATCAAAATGTTTCAAGATACAGGAAAAACTAAATCACTAAGATATCATGATGTATTTTAGATTCATAAGAGTTCAAATAACACATGAAAAGGACACAATGAGTTTTGTTCTAATTTTAAAAAGCAAATTTTCTCTTTGTCCTTTGGAGGAAATCTAAGAAAGATTTAAAAGTTATGAAATATCAGTTGTTAAGAGTTACAACTGCTCAAAAAAGCAACCCAAAGCCAAAATTTTGTCCAATGGACCTAGGTGCTGTCTCTAAGATCATAAAACATTTTCTGTTAATGGTACTGAATTTAAAAAAAAAAAGACAAAGTGAAACTTCTTTATGAAAAAGGTCATCGGTGTTCATCAGTCTAGATCACAGGGTCAGGGTTCCCAGACCACGGTGTGTTGGACGTGCCCTTCATTCCTTAAAGGGTTGGGTACATGTGGCATTTTTGTTCTTGAAAATACTACCCAAGCCAGAGGTAATTTGTTCTGGGGTGGATAGCTGGCCCATTCTGAGATTATGAATTCCTTTTTTCCCAAATTTTAAGTCATAAGAAGAGCAAGGCACACTGGTTTGGGAGAAGTAGCACCACAGAGCCCAAAACTCAAATGAGCATAAACTACAAGGAAGCAGGAAAGGCGTTTCATAAATGGACATCTGCTGAGATTGCTGAAGGCTGGGCCTAAATATTATTCATGAGTTTGGAAAGCTTAGGATCCTAAATAATTGAAGGGAACAGCATCTAGCAGTAGCCAGAATAGCTAAGGAAGCTTAACCCTTTTCCCCAGAATAAAACCTTTTGACTCCCAACCCTACTTGCCTCAGAAACTCAGTCAGCTTTCAGATTGGAATGTAACCTGTGGAGGGGAGTGGTTCCATAGGGACAGACTAGGGAATAGGAATTTTCCTGTCCCTGCAAATGAACCTCTTTTCATTCATTCCCCCCTCCCTTTTATTTTTCTCTTGAGGACAATGCCATTAAGAAGAAACAGTGGGTATAAGAAAAGCTGAATGACAAAAATCCTAAAGAAATAACCATTAGGCAGCCTGGTGATTAAGGGAGCAAATTTACCCCATAGAAATTCCTGGCATTATCTTTTGATCAAAGATTCTTTCAAGAAAGACAATGATTGAAAGGCCACTAAAGTTCTGGGATAGTTATCACCAGAAGAACACTAGTCTTGATCAAATTTCCTATAACAACGCATACTAATGTGGTATTGAGTCCTGGTCTCTTCTGAAGGCCCCAGACTCAAGTAGAAAAGAATTCTGGCACCAGACTCTTCTCTACTGTCCCTTAAAAGAGCAGGCCTGAAGGACAATGGAAAAAAGAAATCCTTTTAATGAGCAGGTCCTAGGAGTTTCAGACATGACTTAGGAATTTATTCTATTGTGAAGGGAGGCAAGAAACTGACTCTTGGCATTTAGTGGTTTGGACCATTGATTGGTATCAGTTCCTGTTTTCTAGGTTTCTTCCCTACTTCCAAGATAACTTTTAATGCTATTTTCCCTATTGTATGGGTGATATGCTAGTAGTAAAATGTATTACTTAACTTGGAGGACAGCAATCACATGGACCAGATGGAAAGTGGGGATTTGTAGCTGCACATATAATACTGGATCATGTTAGGCAAGAATATTTTGAAGGATGCATTTTCTCTGCAGAGATGAAATATAGTGGTAAGACATTTGTACATCTGACCTAGCCTACACCTATTTCTTGGGAATGACTTCAAACTCTTATTATTTTTTAACCAGGTAACCATATTTTCAAGGCTGCCACACTTATAAAGGTTATATGTACAGTGCATATTGCTATGAAGAGGTCCTGACCCATCATCTTGGCCATTACTGATTGATGTAATCTAAGAGATATGAGATACAAAGATTGAGGTAAGCAATGGTCATTGGAGTTGTGAAATTCTACAGAGCAGGGTTCAAAGTCTGCACCAAAGAACAAGCTGAGGCTATGAGACAGGACCAACATAGCACCTCATGTAGGGAAGCAAAAATGGCCTCTCTGTACATACCTTCAGAGAAATCAGTCCAGAAAGAGAGAGAGAACTTTATAGGCAGAAATAATGACATGATAAGGAAAAAAGAACAAGGAAAGGAAGACAAGAGACACAGAGAGAGGACAACAGATAACAAGAATAGGAGACAGACACAGAACCAGAAAGAGACAAACAGCCAGGGGCAGTCAGACACAAAAAGAGATTCATTGCTGCTGACTTTCTAGACCCTAAGATGCTTAGCTATACTTGTTGCAATTAAGTTTCAGATTTTTTATTTATTTATTTTTTTTGAAACAATTGCCATTTTACAAGCAATGTTAGGCAAAATTCTGATTCTTGCAATCAGGTAATTCTTGTGACCTAAACAGCTACTCCTTGAAAGACTTGGGATATTATAATTAACTGCATCTTTTAAATGTTTAATTTCCAACTATAGCAATATAACTTCTTTGTAATATCATTACTACTCTCCACAAATAGACGAGGTTTCATTCAATGACAACAGTTAATAATTCCTTTGGAACAGACAGTTTCAAAATCTGTAATGCATTATCTCACCTATTCTTAATAATCAATGAAGTAAGGTTCCATTATTATTACCCTTTTATAAATTAGGAAATTAGGGCACAAAGTGAGAATATCTTGCTCAAGCTCACACAGTTAATAAAAGGATAAATTTGGATCAACTGTTTATTTACATTAACTGACATTTAAGAAATAAAAATATAAGTTTATACATGGATTTAAAATTCATTTCAGACTGGATTTTTTTGTTGAATGCCCATATGTGCACATTTGAACTAGTAAACTGGTTAACCAATGTTACAAATATAAAGTTCATTTTAAATCTCACTATCAAAATAATCTTCCTGTAGTTCACCAAAAAACAAAACAAAACAATACCTCAAGGTACTTCCAAATTAAGTTTTTCAACTTCCAAAATACCTCCTTTAAAACAGAAGGGAATAAATTCCAACAATGATATTTTTAGCACACTGATTATTTCAAACTTCATTGGAATAGATGAAGATTACTTGTTGCAAGACAGACTCATGTAAAAATACACCTTGACTTCACAGAAAAATTTACACTGATAAATACATATCCATTAATTAATTAAAGTGTAAGGTACACACATATATAAAAAAAGTAAATTGACAAAGATGAGAGGAATTTTTCATGGAAGGTGGTGAGTTGCCATAGATTCTGCTTCTCTTGATTTTCTGAGTAGAGCTTGTTTGAGGGCACTAATTTTCTCATCAAGTTCAGCCAGTGAATAGTTCTGCTATAAACAATAAGAACACAAATTGCTAGATAAGACTCTGAAGTATCTTAATGCAAATAAAGTACTAAATGAACTATAAATATTTAAAATATTCAATAGCATGATAAAATGTTATCAGTTTCCTCATGAGAATAATTTTGAAGCTCAACAACTATACCTAATAACTATATCATAAGTATAAAGGCATGAAATAACAAGACTTGAATGTTTCTTTACTTTTTCTTTCCCAATGATAAAGTTCTCCTGACTTTTTTTTGTACTTTGAAGGACAGAAAAAACTTAAAACAAAACAACAACAACAACAATAACAAAAAACACAACAAAACTGACTATTCTCATTATCAACAGTAAAATTTAAAATCAATTTAACTTTAAACTTAAAATACCTATAAATTCAGTTTGAGGAGTCAATTGTAATCCAGTATTTCTCCTGGAAAAAAAATAGCTGGTATCTAAAATTTTACTCAAAGTTTTACAATAAATAAGCAATATTAAAAAATAAGCCACCAGGCGCAGTGGCACATGCCAGTAATCCCAGCAGCTTAAGAAACTGAGGCAGGAGGAGCACGGGTTCAAAGCCAGCCTCAAGAGCGAGGAGCTAAGCAACTCAGCGAGACCTTATCTCTAAATAAAATGCAAAAAATAGGGCTGGGGATGTGGCTCAGTGGTTTAATGTCCCTGAATTCAGTCCTCAGTACCCTGCCCCCACAAAAAAGCCAAGCATATGCAAAGCCCTAGGTTTGATCCCTTGCATTATAAAGGGCAGGGAAGCCAAAATAAATTTTTTTAAAAGTTTTTCCCTACTTTAAATTTACATTAGCATCATTTAGACTAGCAAAATCTTATTACTTAAGATTCAACAAATTATTAAGTATTACTATGGGCAGAGGTGGGCTGAAATCATCCTCTGACCAACATCCCCTTTTTGATTTAGATCCTTCTAGTTAAGTAGTGTCCATAAAAGGTGAGGTGGGAAGAGAATTAACATACTTGAACACTTATTATTTTTAGGCATTTTGGAACTGATACATTCTTCTACTATTAAAAACAGGATAAACATTTTTATATTTATTTAACCCATCTGAGTCATTCTATACCCTTGAAATACATATATTTCTTTAATTCACATATATTAGTTTATATTGCCCTTTCTTCAGTTCTAAATATTACCAGGGTATAACCTGAAGTCAATCACAGTAGAAATTCTTAATTAATAAGATATGAAATTAATCAATCTATTGCAGAAGTGAAAATGAAGATGCATAACTTACTTGAGGTGGATGAACTTTTCTTCTTTTTCCAGAAAGGTTCTAGTTTAAAAGTAAAAAAAGAAAATAAAATAAAAGGTAAATAATCAATGTTTAGAAAATGAAAGTATCATTTCCTTTACAGAATACTATATAAAATATGGACAGGTGCTGGGGATATAGCTCAGTTGGAAGAGTGCTTGCCTTGAATGCACAGGCCCTGGGTTCAAGAATAAACAGAGCCTACGAGAGGGCAAGCAATTCTTAAAACAAGAACCCAGAACAAGAAACGCTTTGGTGGCCAGGCACACACAGGTCAACATGCTGTGCTAGCCACGGGCCTCCTGAGCACACGGCATGTTTCATAGATGGATATTCCTAACAATGGCTCTGTTTTTTTTAAAAAAAACATGGACAGGCTCTGAAAATTCCAATAAGAAAAAAGCCCACAAACCTACCAAGCATTATAGACTGGCATACACATGCCTATATTCTGAAGTTACCCTCTGAAAATGATGATATTTAAGTTACACAGCAATACTGCAGAAACAAGATTGTCCCTGGCAATACATACTTTCCCATTATTACCAGCTTCTAATGAGCCTGAATGACTGTGGAAAGAGTCTCATTAGGATTTTCTATTAAATTTCCATTTTTTAATCTTTCCATCCCAGGATATTGAACAGATGAAGCAGTAATAGACAAGGAAAATGGAATCTGGTATACTAGGCCAAGGGGTGAGAAAACACACACACACACACACACCTTGGCTATAAATGGCATTGTGGTTGTCCATGCAAACAATTCTTTATCCACTGCTTATCTGTGTGATTGAAGGGAATACTAACCATGCCCCACTGGTCTTGCCAGTGACTGAAGTGGGCATGGACCCAGTTCTGGCCAATAAGAGGTCCACAGAGGATTAAGAGACCTTCTGGAAAAAACTTTCCCATTTTTGAGAGAAAGTACTCAAAAGAGCCTGTTCCTGTGTATATTCATATGGATAAGACACCTGAACGTGCTGTAGCTGTATTGCCATCTGCCTGGGGAAGAAGCCAACACCAAGCAGAGCTGAGAGGAGAAAGAACTCATTCTCTAACAATTATGCTTTAGTCACTGAATCCATTAACCCTGAAGATTGTTATCATTGTACTTCCTGTTTTATTATAAGATAATTTCCACACTGCTGAAGCTAGTCTGAGTTCAGATTTCTTGTATTTGAAGCTAACAATCTTTACATTGACACAGTACTGAACCTTTTAAACCTTAATCTATGTTCTTAGTTTTACAACACCACAAGCTTTTCGATGACAAATTAGTAAATTAGTGTATCTTACAAAGAAATTCTGACTGTAAGTGGCAGAATTTTCTCATGAGCATTCTCACCACTGAGATTTATAAGAAGTTAAAAGTCACATTTTCTCTTGTATCAAAGGCTGACATAAACTGGGATGGTAGCACACACGTGTAATTCTAGCTACTACAGGAAACTGAGGCAGGAGGATTGCAAATTCAAGGCCAGCCTGGGCAACTTAGTGAAATCCTGTCTCAAAATAAAAAGAGTTGGGGATATAGCTCAGTGACAGAGCACCCTTAGATTCAACCTCCAGTACCACAAAAAATAAATGAGTAAAAATAAAATAAAAATGCAGACTCTTAAGACCATCTAGGTATGCCTTTTATTAGTTGCTATAAAAACAAGAAATCATTAAGTGCTGGAATTATTAAATATAGAAAAATAGAGCTCAGAAAAACATGCTCCTTCTTTTACCAAACTGAACTAGATACTTGTAGTGGGTTCTATGAGCAAGGAGGGACTTAACATTTCATTTGTTCTTTGCTCAGTTTCCTACCTTCCCAAAGGGTGGTTTTTTTGGTACTTGATGAAAATATACTTCCCCTTAATATCCTTAAATATACTTCCCCTTAAATATACTTAAATCTTAACAGATTAACTTGTAGAATATTGTTATTTTCTATGTCATGAAGGAATCAGATTGTTATTGTGTCCTGAAACCAAAGTTAAAAATATCAGAATCAGGAGAATAAGGATATCAGTGGATCAATGACTTGAAAACAAAATGAGTCTTTGGGGCTTATTTTAGGTCTGAGCAGAATATGTTCATAAGTATAACACTTAGAAACACCATATCTACTATGAGCACTATAGACCAGCTTAGATATAAAGATATCTCTATAAAAGGTGAAAATAAGTTTTGATACATGAGAAGAAATATTTGGGAGAACAGCACACTAAAGAAACAACTGTATAGAGAATGCAAAACTGTCTCTTTTCTCCCACTATTTTACAATAGGAGATAATTGATCGCTACATTTGTAATACCGGAGTCCTAATGAAAAGATAATATTATACACACACATCCAGGGAACTCACGCATAGGAAACTCAAGGGTAAGGACTTCTTCTATAACCAACCATCTTCTTTCCTTTTACTTTTATTCATTTTTTTCCAGTATTGGAGATTGAAACTAAGGATGCTATATCACTGAGCTGCATCCCCAGCCCTTCCTTTTTTTTTTTTTTTTTTTTGAGACAGGGTATCTCTAAATTGCTGAGACTGGCCTTAAACTTGTGATCCTCCTGCCTCAACTTTGCAAGTAGCTGGGATAATAGGCATGCACCACTACATCCAGTTTTTTCCTTTTAATCATATGTAAAGGGCAATTGATTCTATATGTGTATTGTCTTAAAAGTTTCTTCCCTTTTACTTCCATTTCCCTGATTCAAACTTTCATTTCTCTCCAGCTTGGACAAAGACAGGCTTTCTAAATTAGTTTCCTTGATTCCAATTTCTTTCCAACTCAGACTTCAAAATGCTATCAGACAGCACCTAAATTACATTTCTCCTTTCTCAAAAATTAAATTAGCAGAGCAAGGTAGTACAAGCCTATAATCCCAACTATTCAGGAGGCTGAGGCAGGAGGATTCCAAATTCAATGCCAGCCTGACAACTTGTCTCAAAATTTAAGAACTCAAAAATAAAAAAGGTTGAGGATATAACTCAGTAATAGAGTGCCCTGGGTTCAATCCCCAGTACCTCCTTAGGAGGGGGGGGAAAAAAAAACACAACAAGAACAAAAAAAAAAAAGCAAACAAAAAAACCCCTTAGTTTTGCTTGGATAATATGGGAAGTGCAAACTCTAGAGTGACCTTCAAGCCCCTCCAAAATATGTTTATAATCTAATTTTCCAGCTAGGTAATTGTTCACTCATACTTTACATAGCCACACACTTAAACACACACATGGTTTGTATATATTGACTTGTCCTTTAGCACTCCCCTTCCCCATATTCCCCTTGAGAACCAGAAGTTACCATTACTGACTAAAAACTATCCCTAGTTAGTGCTTTGGAGCAAATTAACACACCTTTGAAAGTCAAATAATTAACTAGCAGCTATGTCCTATCCATTCACTTGCACATTTACTCAGTATCTACTATGTTCTGTATAGTCAGAGATAAACATGACATAGTTCCTGCCCTTGAGAGGTTCAATATAGTGTGAAAAACAGATGCATAAGCATATAAGTTATATGCTCTATAAAGTAAACAGAGGTTTGTGGAAACATAAAGCAGTTACTGTTTTCAAGTGTCACAATTTAAAATCAGTAAGGAATTCTTTGGAAATACTGATAAAAGATCACATCTCCTAAACAGTCTATTAAGCCATACTCTTAAAAATATTACCACATTAAACCCTTTCCACATAATGTGAAGGATAAAGATCTTTGGGATCATAGTTCCCATTTTATGTACATTATAACTTATATTGGAGTTTTATGTGTTTCATTAAATGAAAAAAAATTATATATATAAAACCTGTTTTATGAGCTGAATACAATTTGCATCTCTTTTTCTGCAAATGTTCACCTTTTTATATGCTATGCTCCAGTGCTACCTCGATAATCTCAATCTCATTTTGAGAAGCATTCCTATGTTTAGGATTCATCTACCTGTGAATTTAAGATAAACACGTTTCAAATAAAATCTTCAGAGTTCAAAAATTCAATTTCCAACAAAAATTCAATCTTTACCAAATTTAATGGGCTCCCATGTCTCCCATGATTTCCAAATTTAGAAGCTAGAGTACTGTGCTCCGTGTATAGTTTCTTCAGTACACTTATTAGAAATAAGTATGTAAAATTGTGCTTTTACCAACATGTAGTCTTAGCATGAGGATTGTGAGGGTGATGAGTCATGTGCTCCATCCTCTATAGGGCACACAGCATGCTCAACTCCTCTCACACAAAAGGACAGTCCTTGAGTTGGTTCTATTCAAGCAAGGAGTGTGATTCCCTGGAAGGACTCACTCATTATATTATATAAGAGTGAGCATGAAATCATTTTCCCCCTGTGCTGGTGCCATATCAGTTCACAGGCCTGGAGAACAGAATCAGTCTGAATGTTTAACTCTTTCCACCTCTTTGTCTGCTTGTGGCTCAATATTAATATGGATATGTCACTTCCAACATTGAGAAATGTCCAAATCAAAGATAAGTTGTTATTATTTTTGTACCGAGGATTGAACTTGGAGGTGCTTAACAACTGAGCCACATCCCAGGCCTTTTTTAATATTTTATTTAGAGACAAGGTCTAGCTGAGTTGCTTAGGGCTTTGCTGTTGCTGAGGCTGGCTTTGAAACTCATGATCCTCCTGCCTCAGCTTCCTCCTGCCACCCTGCCTAACTATTATTTTTAACATGTTTGGAAATACTTTAGAAAAGCACTACTTTTATCACAGGTTGCCATCATCTATTCTTTTTGAATTGCTAATTCATTCAGGCCAATCTTTTGTCTACATATCTAATGCTTCCTGCCCCTGAAGAGAGGTAGTCACCAAACTTCAAGACTTTTGACAGCTGCAGTGTTTTTACCCATCAGTGTTTTAATTAGTACCTCTAAGCAGACTCTCTCAATTGTCTCTAGTAAAGCCCTGAATTTCAAAAACTTGCCTGACATTTCTATCTTATCCTCCTATGACTTCAAATTCATAGTTCACCAAAACAAACAAAACAAAACAAAACACAACTCCCCTATAGATCTGCTTATTTCTATCAGTTATGGTATCATTTTTCCAACCAGAAATATCCTTGTTATTTCTTTCCACATCCAATCATCAGTATTTGTCAACTTTTCTTTCCTACTTGATTTAATCTTCTCACTCAATCTCTATTTTAAGATCTCATTTCACA